CTAATTTTAGTAGAGACGGGGTCTCGCTCTTGCTCAGGCTGGTTTCGAACTCCTGAGCTCAAACAATCCGCCCGCCTCGGCCCCCCAGAGTGCTAGGATTACAGGCATGAGGCACTGCCCCCGGCCATAATTGTTCTTTTTTGAAAGTAATCTTTTTATCTTTTTTGTGACTGCTTTAAACATTTTTTTTTCTTTGTCTTTTGTCTTAAGCACTTTTACTATCATGTGCTTAGGTGTTGTTTTCTTTGTATTTATTCTGCTTGCATTTACAGGGCTTCTTTAATCTATGGCTTAGAGTCTTACTGATTTGGGAAAATTTTATCCTTTATCTTTTCAAATATTGCTTCTACTTCATTCTCTTGCTCCTCTTCCCTGGGACTCCAAACACACATATAGTATTCATTGTATCCTCCATCTCTCATGCTTTCTGTGTGTATGTATTTTCCTTTTTTCTCTTCATGCTTCATTCTAGATGTTTCTTCGGATCTTCTAGTTCACTTTATGTTTAGCTTTATTGAATCTGCTGTTAATTCACTGTTGAGTTTTTAAATTTATTTTATTTTTGAGTCCTATCTCAATCTGGTCTTTTATATCCTTGAACACAGTAAGCACAGCTATATTTTGTTTTTTAGTATAATTATTTTAAAGTTTAATCTGATAAAGCCAATGCCTCGAGAACCTGAGGGTCTATTTGTATTTTTGCTATTTCTCATTCGTGTTGTTACATCTCTTTACATTCCTGGTTATTTTTTGTTGTGAACCATATATTCTATTTGAAAGACTATTTGTAGAAATCATTTATGGTTCTACATGATGTTATCTTAGTCCAGAGAGGTTTGCTTTTCTCAGGTATCTGGGACTACTTTATTTAAACTTCAGGGATTGAAATAATTTAAAGGTAGGTTATATTCCCTTCCAGGGCTGTCCTATTTCCAGCTCGCTCTTACTCTTACATAGATGTAATCTTTGGGGGTCCCAGACCAAAGCACTCACATCACCGTTGGCAAGCCTGAACTCCCAATTTTTTTAGCTTAGCCACAAAAGGCTATCAAGAGGGCTGCTCAATCTCTTTCCCTCCTCTTTTGAAATCCATGAATATCCTTAAATGAGAAATGATACCAAATGTTGGTCTTACTTCTCTGGATTTCTGCCTTTTTCCAGGTCTCAACTTAGTAATTCTTTTTTCTTTTTTCCTTGAGACAGAGTCTAATTCTGTTGCCCAGGCGAGTGTCGTGGCATCAGCCTGGCTCACAGCAACCTCAAACTCCTGGGCTCAAGCGATCCTCTTGCCTTAGCCTCCCGAGTAGCAGGGGGCACTTGCCACCGTGCCTGGTTAATTTTTTCTATTTTTAGTAGAGACAGGGTCTTGCTCTTGCTCAGGCTGGTGTCGAACTCCTGACCTCAAGCAATCCTCCCGCCTCAGTCTCCCAGCGTGCTAGGATTACAGGTGTGAGCCACCGCGCCCAGCCGCAACCAGGTAATTCTTCACTACTTTATTCATTTTCTGATGCTTTCAAAACAAACTCAAAAAGTATTGTGTCTAACTTTTCCAGCTGACTTCATAGGGTTGACCTAAACTATTGAGTCTGCCTTTGATGAAGTGGAAATCCTTAGTTTATATCACTTTTAAAAATTCCAAACTTTTATCATGGTTTTAATGTAGTTTGAGAAGGGAATGGAATTACAAGTGTGCTCAATTCACCATCTTTACCTAAAAGGTCTTTTTTCATTTCCTTTCAGGAAAAAAAATACATATATCAGCGTATATCCATACACTTTGGCAAAAACTGGGAATGAGAAGATTCTATCCATTTACTTTTGCACTTAACAGAGTATCTAAAACATTTTCTATGTCAGCTCCTGTAGCCCTACTTAATTCATATTTTTAAAAAATAGATGTACTTCATATGATTCAATTCACTCTATCTCAACAAATATCTACCTGTTGTGCTCGATGCACTATACTGTGTTTAGGGGGCTATAATAGTGAGCAAAACCCAATTTTGTCCCAGGACTCAGGGAGTTTATAGTTGAGGGGGGTGTGAAACATATCAACCATGTAGTGATATAAATCAATGTAAAACTGAGACTCTAACAAATACTAAGGAGAGGTACATAGTGATATGAGAGCATAACAGGGGTACTGGGTCTAGTTAGGGATGTCAGAAATGTCTCCCATGAGGAAGTAACAATAAGTTGAATAGGAGCTAACCAGAAGAGAAGAGGAGAAAGGAAGCTTGACTAAGGGAAATAATATTCCAGGTAGAGAATCTAGCATATAGATATAGCATAATTGATTTACGCAGCTTTCCATGAGGGATATTTAGACTGTTTTAAACCTTTTGTTATTAAAGATAATACTTCAATAAATTTTCCCATATATCGTTTTTGGCATACTTTTATAAGCGTACCCTTATGGTAATGAAGAATCCTTTCTTAACACATAAAACAGAGTTCCTAATAATTTCCATTTCCACTTACATTTGAATATAAATTTTATTACATCTCTTTCTTCTATATTTCATCTTCCCCTAACTTAAATTCTTTATTTTTAAAAATTTTTCACTTGGCTGCACTGTTCCTTAAGAACTAGTTCCTTATAGTGATCGCCTATCCCATAAAGGTACTTACAACCTATGCTCCATCTGCTGTTGACCTTCAATATGGAACGTGAAGCATAAGCATGTGTGGGAATTTCCTTTAGATTCCCAAAGTGAGCTAAGCTTTATCTACTATGAAGGTGGTTTATCTTAACAGTTAAGTGAATCACCTCAGCACAGAGCCTGGAGAGAATGAGACAGTCAGAGGTTTGTGCTCAGGTGACCATCTCTTCAGACTATCCTGCATTCTGAGGTAGGTTAGGACCTACCTTTAAAATCAAACCTCCTCCAACACACTAGGAAAAAAATACTAGACTACAAATACAACAAAATGTTATCACACAAAGATCCCTCACATGTCAAAAAGGAAAGAAAAAACATGCATATAACCCAGTAGAAAAATGTATAGAAGATATGATTTGACAAGTCACAAAAGAGAAATAAACGTGGCCAATATACACACATAAAAATACAAATTAAAAATTTTAAAACATCAGACTATAACAAGTATAATAAAAAGTACTGGAGAGAGCACTGTGAACTATGCATCACACACAAGTGTAGACTAGTGCAGCCTTTCTAGAGGATATCTGTATTAGATTTAAAATTTTAAGTACTAATTGACACAGATATTCAATTTCTAGAAATTTTTCCTAAGGAAATTATCAAGAAAATGTTAACCTTGACTTTCTAATATTGATTTTCTTTCTTTCATAGCATATATCACCATTTGACTCATATTTATTATTTCTCTTCCCTACACTAGAATATATGCTTATGGCAAGCAAGAATCTAAACAGGACTTGGCACATATCAAGCATGTAATGAACACTGGTTGTTAACAGAATGTGCAAAGATTTATCTATACAAATTTTCAAAACTGTAGGAATTTTAAAAGCAAAAAGTTGGGAAGAAAATCTAATATCCAATAGCATGAGATTGGTTAAAACAAAGAATGATCAACTTGGAGGACTATGTATCCATTAGAAACTAGTCTACAAAAGAAAATAAAAACAGTAAATATACACGATACCATTACATGACCTTATTCTTGTTAAAAAGAAAAAAGAGGAAAAGTACATGCAAAGATAAAAGACAGCTAATACAGTATATATCAAGATGTTAACAGCGGATATCTACAAGATGGTATGTTTATGGGTGATTTTTTTTCTTATTTATGATTTGCTATATTTTTCAAATTTTATTTTCTACAATGTATATAATTCTCTTTTAATAAGACAAAAGAAAATTATTCAAAATAAACTAAAACAACTAAAATCCAAATGTCTCCTTAGTTTCTAAAGGAGGAAATTTACCTTCTGCTTCATCATCATCAATCAGTTCATCATCAGAGCATATGTTGAGAATGTTAACCAGCATCTCTGTGACTATATGATAAGACAAAATAATCCAAAATTTATACAATTAATAAGGGACTTTCTCTAAAATAAGGTGGATATCTAAATAAACATATATGGTAAATAGGCATAAACAAAATTATTTATTATTATATTAGTAAGAATGGCTATAAAGAGTAGCAATAAACGCAAACCTTCAGGTTTAAAAAGAATTTGAGTAGATTACTTGCTCCAGTAAAGGTCTGGAGTCTTTGAAGACTCTATTGCATAGTTACTTAATTTTTTTTTAACCAAGATTATTTTCTTTCTTTCTTTCCCCCCTTCTTTTGCTTCCTTCCCTCCCTCTCCCTCCTCTCTTTCTTTCTTTTTTTTTTTGAGATGGGATCTCACTATGTTGCCCAGGCTGGTCTCAAACTCCTGGCCTCAAGTGATCCTCCCACCTCTGCCTCCCAAAGTGCTGGAATTATAGGCATGAGCCATCACACTTGGCCAATTACTTGATTTTATTAGATTGATGTTCAGATCTTTTTCCTCACCGATAAGCACATGAGAACATTTTTTCTCATTTTACGAAGAAGTTAAGCCAACAGGCCTGTGTTCAACAGGCTAATTTTATATTTCCATAGCTTATCTGTATAAATGTACATAAAATTCTAAGGACAATAAATCCTATCTAAATCTCTTTAGCACTAAAGAAATCACTGAAAGAATGGTAAGTAACTACGTTATTTTAACATGTTGATAATAGTAGGGCAGCTACTTCAAATTGATATCTAGAATAAGAAAACCATAATAGACTAGAACTAAAATTTAAGAACCAACTAAGTGACACTTAAACTCTTTGTAGAGAACAAACAAAATTAGAAAACATGTCTGAACCATCAGGGGGCTCAAGCAAATACAAAGGTGTGCTCAGTCACTAGCTAAAACAAGCGATGGTCCAGACGATTTAGTTCTCTTACCTTTTTCCCCAACAAAAGGTAAAGACCATGTGAAAACATCCATAAAGTTTGGAAGCCAGTAGGGGTGTGGAGAACAGTTAAACTGCCTGATGTTCATGACATTATTTTCATATTTCAACACAGCAGCTAAAAAGGAAAAAAGCAAGAAAATCTGCCATAGGACCATGACAAGGCAACTGGTAGGCTTTGTACAGTTGTGTACCTACTACACAGAATTCAGGAACTTATTTTCCACTTGTAAATTCAGTACTACGTGAAGGGCAGATGAAAAAAATTAAAGCATTTTATATAGTTCATTCCCATTTTTTTTTTTTTTTTTTGAGGCAGGGTCTCACTCTGCTGTCCAGGCTGCTAGGGTGCAGTGGCGCCATCACAGCTCACTGCAGCCTTGAATTTCTGGGCTCAAGTGATTCTCCTGCCTCTGCCTCCTGAGTATTCCCGACTATTATACCCGGCTATTTTACAATTTTTTGTAGACGGGTCTCACTATGTTGCCCAGGTTGGTCTTGAACTCCTGGCCTCAAGCAATCCTCCCGCCTCAGCCTCCCAAAATACTGGGATTACAGGTGGGAGCCGCCATGCCCAGCTAGTTCACTCTTTTAAGAATTATTCCAAGGAACAAAGTTACCTGAAGTGCTCATATAATAAAAGTATAAAAGAAACTGAAACTTGAAAGGGTCACTGTACAGTAACTATCTATAGAAACCTCAGGATATACATGAGAAAAATTTCCCATAATTTCTTTTTATAGGCCAAATAGTTACAGTCACAACTCTCTTTTGAGGGCAAATATCATTCATTAAACAGACATAGCCTATTTTGCTAGTCGTTAGCCAGAGCCAAAGATTTTATAAACCCTCTGAGACTTTATAAATAGCAGCTATCAATTCAAAATGGGGGACACACAGCAAACCTGGAGCAATTTATACTGAATGTCCAGAAGTAGATTAAATCATCTCTTCATACAATACAGTGGATTTTAAAACTGCCTCGTTCTCTAATACACAGTCAGTATATTGCCAGCACACTATAAATGTCTAATAGTAACCAGTTCATATAACTGCACATATATTTTGGTATCAACTGATTTTCCTTATATTTTAAAAGTCTTAAAATCTAATTCCTTAGTCTTCACCACCAGCAATGTTTGCACTGTTCTCTTAATTATTCTTACTGTGGTCATAAAATATAATAGGGTTTAACAGTTTTCTAGATATGACAGATATAGGTCATCTCTTCATTCTTGCTTCTTTGTTGTAGGATAACCTAGTGTTCTCAAAATTTAAGTTACTGAATGTCTGTATATAGCAAAGATTATAAAGAAAAACACATGATAATAGAATCCCTAGCTCTTAAAAACCTAACACTGCTACAATGTCCATGTCTCATTATTTTCATGTATATATACTTTATTTGGGTTAGGTGAATGTATCACATACCATATTCAGCAACTTCCTCAATCCACACAGGAAAAGGAAGGGGGAGGTGTCTCTCAATAGTGCAAGATTAGAAATAAGAGCTTTAAAAAACTGCTTTTGGGTATGTTCCCAGTGGACAGAAAAAAATAGGAATAAGAATGTTTTAAAATTATGACTTAGGGGTCTTTCATGTAACCAGTGGAACTAAGAAATACCTATAGGTACCAATAAGTCTAAAGGATATGAAAGAAAGAAAAGCAACAGTATAAAGAGAAGAAGAAAAAGGGCGATAGAGTTGCCTTTTTCAAGAAAAGAGGTACTTGTATGGAAAGCAATTAAGTACCACCAGGAATTGTTTCAGATGCCACATTTTCTGCCTTTTTCCTAAAAAAAAAAATGCTTAAGAAATTACCAAGGAAAATAAGATTATTTGGAAGTCAAGTCCCCAATTATATCAAAGCTGACAGAAAACTCAGCATGCACTGTGAATTTAAAAGTTTGCTAAAGGAATAATCAAGAACAAAACCAGACTAGAAGGGACACAGAATGAGCTGGCAGTTAGCAAGCTGTACAGTGGCTGCTGATTTAGGTGGCATGTTTCAGCTCAGCACACTGATAAATCCATTGGGCAATCCATAGATACTCTTAATAATGAAGTTTAAAAAGGGAGTGAGAAGGGAAAGTCTTCATTACAAATATGAGGTCTAGGGCCACTAAGAGTCCTTAAAGATGTTTAACAACACAAGCAATGCATCCCATTGATAAGGGAGGAAACAAGAATAAAACTAGGTTGTTAATATATTGGAAATATTAGGAAAAAGGAAATAATGAATGAACCTGGGGAGCAGCAGAGTACTGCAGTAGAGCTAAGGCTCAGAGAAGAATGGAAAGAAGTAAAAAGAAAACCACATAAGCCTAGGAGAGAAAATAAGTCAAAGAAATGTTTTTAAAAAAATGGATAAGTCACTGAAAGACACACTGAAATGACTGACCCAAATCAGAGTTAAATGAGATAAGCCATTCCATAGCTTACTTTTAAGTAGAGTAAATATTAAGCACACTTTGGCCCTCTTTGAAACTTCTCTCCCCAGCTGCATATACAAGGTATGACTATAAAGTAATGAGACTTAAGAAACCACCAACTACAAACACACCAGACCTTTATATCAGATGAGTGTGGTCCTTTGATGTTATCACATCAGGCACAGTAACAGTTAAATGGTATAGTATTATAGCAGTTTATACTTTGAACAATGCTTTAATAATCATTTTCACTATTCTAACATCTTCAACAATATGACAGGTATTTTAAAGATAAACTGAGGCTCAAAAAAGTTAAGCACCTTTTTAAATGTGATACCCTTAAAAGTGAAGCAGGACTAGACTAGGAACTCTGACTCCTTGCTTGGCATTCTTTTCAACACAACTTGCTGCCTTACCATGCAATTCATCCAGAGATACTGCCATTACTCAAAACATTTTTGGAACTCCTCTTTTGGAAGTGCCTCCAGAGCTGTTGTATCAGCAACACGGGAAAAAACAGTCTCATTACCTTATAATCATACCTTGTTTCTGACCCCAAATGGTATCATCTAGCTTGATCACTCACCTTATCAGTCTTGGCTCCGAATGACTTTTGGCTGTCCAAAAATCAAATCCACCCTCAAAGGACGAAGATTTCTCATCATTGAGGATAATCAAAAGAATGTGTCGCAGACTCTGAAGGCAGTGCCAAAAAAGGAGTTCCAAAAATGTTTCTGAACAAGGACAGCATTGTTGGAATACGTGTATAACCTCCCAAAGTAACTACTTTGAAGGGACAATACTCATTTGGATATATTTGTTCTGGCATGTTTGTTTTAAAAGTCCTATTATTTTACAGTCATACTTCATAAAACAACAAAATAATTACACAGACATGAAGTTTTTAGTAGGATCACTGCCTTGACAGAAAACTTATGAATTATGAATCATAGAAGTTTTAAATTTTAAAAAGGACTTTAACAGGATAAAGTCTTAGAAGAATTTCTGGAACAAAAGGCATGTGCATATCCAGTCCTCTTTTTTTACATGGGAAACTGAGGTTTAGAAATATTATGTGACTTACCAAAAGTCACACTGTTAGTTTTTGGCAGGGCTTAGACAAAAATGAAGATTTTTTTCTGACTTTTTGTACATTATTCACTCTACCTATACTATATTTCAAGAAGAACAAAAATAGCTTAATAATTGACAAACATTAAAATACCAATGGTCACATTTTTTGAGGTACTTTTATAAACAAATTAAATTCACCAAAACCAATAGTTTATGCTAACTGTTCTAACATGAACCTGAAGCAATTTATTCCTCTTATACTTTGATTCAGTAGCATAAACTTGACCTATTATGATCATTATTTATATTCACAAAGAGCCCAATAATCCTTAGGAGATGAAGACCAAGCAGCAGCATAAATTCTAAATGTCTTGGCCTTTGTTTCAATGAAGACCTCTTTTTTCTTATTTATAATTTATATTTAAAAATAATACACACACATACATATAATTAAACTGGAGCTCACATTTACTCACAAATTCAAACTCAAGTATTGCTGGACTCCATTACCTTTATTGTTATAGACATCTAGGTAATTAGGGGCAGAGAAAATTGTAATAAGTGATGGAAAGCCTGTTGTTTGGCTCTTCCTGTACATTCGATACCTGGAAGAGAGATGACAGCTCGTCTGTCTTCATATTAAAAGTAAAGACCACAGTGATATTCAGTACAGTTTTAATATAACTTACCCGGCATCTTGGGCTTCATGGGCTCTGATAATTGATAATAAATTATTGTTCTGCAAAAATTCACAAACTGCAGGGTAACTGAAAAACAAAATTAGACCATATAAATTCAGAATTAAAATAATTATTTTTAATACAAAGAAGGGGTAAAGTCAAGATGACATGAGTTGATTTTGTTTCAAGATTATAGTTATTATACACCACTAGAATTTTATTAATACCTTAGTAATCATCATTCTGTTTTTCCATTTCACTGATATACTTCATTACAGTTCAAACATGAAGATAATAGATAATCCGAAAATAGCGCTCCCCGACTTAAAATATTTTTGTCTTAACTCAAAATAATACAACACCAAAACTTTTTTTAGTATCGTGACATAAAAAAGTATGACAGTCATGTACGTGTATGTACAGCAGGGGCTAAAAACTGAACACATGATTTTCTTCAACCATCAACTATCAAATTATTAGAAAAGTAAAAGAATCTACTTATAGCTTCACAGGTAAACTATTAGAAATAATAAACACACAAATTCAGTAAAGTTACAGGATACAAAATCAACATACAAAAATCAGTAATAACTTTGACTCAAACAGTACAAAAGCAATTTATGTATCCAAAACATTTGTACCCCATAATATTCTGAAATAAAAAAATGGAAATTAAGAAAATAATCCCATTTATAATGGCAACAAAAAGAATAAAATACATACAAATTAAAATTAACCAAAGAGGTGAAAGACTTATACACTGAAAATTATAAAGCCTTGATGGAGGAAAAGAAGACACAAATAAATAGAAAGACATCTGTGCTGATGGATTAGAAGAATATTGTAAAAATGTTCGTACTATCCAATGTGATCAACAGATTCAATTCAATCCCTATCAAAATCCCAATGTCATTCTTCACAGAAATAGAAAAAAAAACCCTAAAATTCATATGGAACTGTAAGACCCCAAATAGCCAAAGCAATCTTCAGCAGGAAGAACAAAGCTGGAGGCATTGCACTTCTTGATTTCAAAAATATATTACAAAGCAACAATAATCAAAACAGTACAGTTCTGGCAAAAAAAAAAAACAACCCAGATATATAGCTAATAGAACAGAATAGAGGGCCCACAACTAAATCCACATGTTTACAGTTAACTGATCTTCAACAAGGGTGTCAAGAACACACAATGAGGAAAGGACATTCTCTTCAATGAACGGTACTGAGAAAACTGGATATCCACATGCACAAGAATGAAATTGGACCATTTTTACACCATATACAAAAATCAATTCAAATGGATTGAAGACTTAAACGTAAGACCTAAAAGAGTAAAATAACTATAACTTGAAGAAAATGTAGGGAAAAGCTTCTTTCTTTTTCTTTTCTTTTCTTTTTTTTTTTTTGAGACAGGGTCTCTCTCTGTTGCAATGACTAGAGTGCAATGACACATCATAGCTCACTGCAACCTCAAACTCCTTGGGCTCAAGCAATCCGCCTGTTTCAACCTCCTGAGCAGCTGGGAGGGACTACAGGTGTACACCACTATGCCCAGCTAATTTTTAAATTTTTTGTAGAGACAGCTATGTTGTTCAGGCTGGTCTCGAACTCCTGGCCTCAACAATCCTCCCGCCTTGTTTCAGATGTGTTTCTGTGCAAAGATACTTTATTCAGTATATACTGTAGATTCATCAACAATGAACTCCTGGCCAACAACACTATAACTCATGCCTGAACAAAGCTTATATCTAATACTGTAATATTTTCTCTGTAAGGTATGCCTTTTTGTGCTTAAGAACCCGAGACAGCATTTCAGCACGATGTTTGGGAGCCACTTTAAACAGTGAAATCCTTAACAAAAAGCACAAAAACATGAAAAACGTTGCACTAAATAGACCACAAAAAGAATAACTATTTATATTATAATATGAGAGCTGAAAAGAAGGCAGAGTATCACTTTGTTCAACCTCGGTTGGGAACATGTGTGTGGCAAAACTCAAATTTTTTGTCAACTATGCACAATGCGTGTCCAAGCATGATTGTGAAAGCTCTGTAAGTATTGATGTGGGGGTTACAAACAAATCTTAGTAAGTAGAGGAACTCACAAATACAAAATCTGCTAATAATAAGGATCAACTGTATATCCACAGGATTAAGTTTTAGAAGGAGAATTTCTGGATCAAAGGCCATGTGTGTTTATAATTGAGAGATATTGCCAAGTTGGCATCCACAGAAATTGCACCAAACTATATTCTGCCAACAATAAATAAGTATTATGCTGTTTGTTTTAAGCAATATAAAAAGAAATAAAAGTTAAATGATTTCATCATATTAGTCACTGGAAAAGTTGGCATGGAGAAATGAAAAAAAGTTTAGAAGAGTGCTAAAACTAATGGCAAAATTGATGCTTCTTTTGTGTGTGTGTATTTTTATTTAATGAATGCATTATCTTAGTCAATTAACAGAGATTTGGGGGGACTAAATATATGTATTTTTGTCACAATAAAATATTGGGATTAAAAATAATTTAGATTTCAAACTTCCCTATATCTTCCTATTTTTGAGTATCAAATCACAATGAAAGCTCACATGTGGGATTTAAAACAACAGCCAACTTCCAGGAAATGTACTCGGCTTAGTTCACAATGTCCTGTTCTTTTTATATCTTTGTCTACACCAGCAGTTCCAAAAGCTGGAGAGCTTTTTAAAACATAACAGGATTCCCCTGTCTCAGACCTAGTGAATCAGAATCTCTGGGTAAAGAACCAAGAAATCTTTATTTTACAAAGTGTATAGATGATGTTTACGAACAAATAGTCTAGATCATGTAGGGTCAGACAACAATATCAAAGGACTGCCTGATGTCCAATCATGTTTGGTGTGTTATACTTCTTAGGGCATAATACCTAAGAAAATATTAAAAAACCAAACAAATAAAAGTTTTCTGCTTTCTATTAATCAAAAAATTAAACAAAAGTACCTATACTTGTTTGAGATATAAGATACTTAAAAATAACCTGGTGAAATGTATTACAGTTTCCTTTTGTAATGTCCATTTCAAGGATTAGCTTACCTGTAAAAATAAGAGCACCCTCGGACAGTGTTGTGGGTGTAGTGCTCCAGGGTCTTTTCATTGCCATAATCCTCGGAGGGATCAGACCAAAGCAGGTCACACACTGGCCCGAAGGCAGGAGGTTCAATAAACCTGTCTAACTAGAAGATATACAAAAGCCAAAAGAAAAAAAATCAGGAGAGTAAAAGGGCTCTTGGAAAATAGTATGTGTCAAAATAAAAAACCGCTTTGCATCCACAAGAATCATTAAGAGAGAAGGCAGTAAGTCCCTAAAGGATTTTCCTACAAGAAAAGGAATATTTAACAAATTTTGATACCCAATTTTTATTATTTTTCTGTAATAAATTTTTATATTCTTTTCATTGAACTATATTGTAGAAAAGGACCCACTTACATCCTAATCTTAAAGCAATACTCATTTAATCTGAATGTGAAATCAACCACTATAAAGATATACTATTTCAGAAAGACTATGCAAAGTTAATTTCAATTACATAGATGAGTCAATGTTACCATGAGAACAGGAAGGTTTTACAATGGTTCTGTTCCTTGTTTACCTCATTCCAGTGGAGATTTCTTCATTTTAAAGAATGCTAATTTTATTTTGTAAGGACCTTTATCCTTTCCATTCTATGCAGTGGAAGCATTTCAATACAAGTTATTAACTTAAGCCTTTAGTCACTGCTGCTTTACTTAAAAGCAAAAAAAACAAAAGAAAACAAGTAGCTAGAATAGCTATGTCAAGAACAGAGCTTCTACTGAGTGAAAGAGGAGGTTTTTATTAATACAATTGATTCATGATGATAAAATTTTAAATTTACTATGTAAAAGAGAAATCCTGATTATTTTCAAGACAATAAAGGCAGGAGAAAAGTCAGTGCATATAGGTACACCTTCTTACCCTGAGGAGACTGACTTTAATTCAGAGAAAACAGTTTTATGAATAGGAAAATCTTTAGTTTTCAGTGCCTATAAGAGAGAGGTTAGAGAATACAAAAGTAGAGAAGAGAAGATGGTCATGTAGAATAACATAAGTTAGTCATCTTTCTTCACTAATGAAGATACAGAATCTTGGAAATAATAATCATCATGTAAGGCAAGCAATTAAACTATATCATCTAAAATGTTAAAATCAATACATTTCAGAGTTGGCAGAGTCCTCGGACCATCCATTCCAACTTCCTCATTTCACAGAGAAGAAGATGTAACTAAGTGATTTGGTCAAAGTCACACAATTAATGGCAAGACTGGGATTAGAGCCCTGGTTTCTTTCCTTTCACACTGTGACACAATTTAAAGTTTCAGGGCCATACTCTAAGAATGTTATGTTTCTAGTTGGTAAAAGCACAGATTTCGTAAAAAATTATAGAAAATTTCTGGTAGGTATATATCAAAATAAGATATATATCAAAAAAGATAACAGTAGTTATCTTGCAACGATGAAATTACAGGTAATTTTCTTTTTTTTTATTTTTTGAGACAAAGTCTCGCTTTGTCGCCCTGGCTAGAGTGCAGTGGCATCATCATAGCTCACTGCAACCTCAAACTCCTGGGTTCAAGCCATCCTCCTGCCTCAGCCTCCTGAGTAGCTGGGATTACAGGCCTATGCTACCATGCCTGGCTAATTTTTTCTATTTTTAGTAGAGATAGGGTCTCACTCTCACTCAGGCTGGTCTCCAACTCCTGAGCTCAAGTAAGCAAGCCTCCCATCTCAGCCTCCCAAAGTGCTAGGATTACAGGCATGAACTACCATGCCCAGTCTAATTTCCATTTTCTTACATTTTTTTTATTAAAAAAAATATTTTTTTAGAGACAGGGTCTCACGCTGTTACCCAGGCTGGAGTGCAATGGCCCATGATAGCTCACTGCAACGTCAAACTCCTGGGCTCAAGCAATCCTTCTGCCTCAGCCTCCTGAGTAGCTGGGACTACAGGTGTGCACCACCACCACATCTGGCTAATTTTTAAATTTTTTTTAGAGACAGGGTCTCACTAAGTTGTCCAGGCTGGTCTCGAACTCCTGGCCTCAAGCAATCCTCCCACCTCCACCTCCCAAAGTGCTAGGATTACAGGCTTGAACCACTGCACCTGGCCCATTTTCTTACTTTTGATTATCTGTATTTTAAAAATTTTGGCTAAAGATATATTGGTTGACAGCAATAAAAAACAAATTTTAAAAAATAAACCCTATGAAAATAAAAGTTACTTACTCTCCTAATGTCATCTAAACAAGTAATTTCAGGTGACATTCCTCCATGTACACAGAGAAACTGCTGGTTTAAGAGGGCAGCAAGAGGAAGACAGTCAAATGTATCCATACACGCATCATACACCTGTTCAGAATATTTGATGCGACCTACCAAAAAAGGAAAAACAGTCAAAGGAAGAAAAGCTAAAATGTTATCATATTTAAAAAAGGACACTGGCCAGGAAAATATGAAGCTATTTCAAAGCCATTTATTTCACACAAATTTGAAAACAATCATCTCTGTAAAGATATTGTGGAAAAGTTGTGGATAAAGAGTTAACAAAATCTCTCTCCTTCTCTTAAAGACAAGTGTGGCCTTGGATTTTCTAGTCCTGTTGCCCTGGAAACCTGATAAGGTGATTGACTGTCAGCTATGTGATTAGGCAAAATTACCCAATTACCTAGTAGGAAGCTATAGCTTTGGGCTCCTCTGAGGGCAGTGACTCATAACCGATTATGTCCCTGTGGGACTCTGGACGCTATGCCAATAAAGATTTTACAGGACATATTGACACTTGTGATGCATGAGGCTGCTAAGCCAGGGTGGCTCCCTGATCTGTACAACATGGGTATACATTGTTTCCTTGCACCTGAGCTGTGACCTGGGACATGGAGGCAGAAAGCCTCTGCACTGCTGTTTGCATTTCTGTGGGGATTACTCCACTGACTAGGAACGCCTGCTGCTGCCCTTCCTGACCTGTATCCTTTTTTTTTTTTTTTGAGACAGAGTCTCACTGTGTTGCCTGGGCTAGAGTGCCGTGGTGTCATCTTAGCTCACAGCAACCTCAAACTCCTGGGCTCAAGCAATCCTTCTGCCTCAGCCTCCCGAGTAGCTGGGACTTCAGGCATGCGCCACCACGCCCGGCTAATTTTTTCTATTAATTTCTTTCTAATTTTAGTAGAGACGGGGTCTCGCTCTTGCTCAGGCTGGTTTCAAACTCCTGAGCTCAAACAATCCGCCTGCCACGGCCTCCCAGAGTGCTAGGATTACAGGCGTGAGCCACCACGCCCGGCCTCAATTTTTTTAAAAAAGGAAAAAAGTTAACTGTTATACTTTGCTACCCAAATTATCTTTGGATTTGAATGAAAAAAGGAATATTAAAAAAATGAAAATCTATGCAGTATAAAGCAATTAAAGAATTGATATCAGAAAAGAAAAGCCTCCAACCTCCTTCCTCCCCCCAAAAAAGACTTTAACAAGATTACAATTGCACAATCTGGAACTAAGCATCACTTAGCAGTAATTATAAGGTACTAACTCCTTTTTTTTTTGAGACAGGCTTTCACTCTGTTGCCTGGGCTAGAGTGTATAAAGTGCTAATTCTAAAAGCCATGGTGGCCCTTTAAAAGACAGATCAGCTTATCAGTAAAAACAGTTATGCAAAATATAGCATGCATGTTCTTTCCTTATACAGGAAAATTTTAAATTTGTACTTGAATTCGTGTGCTTGTTCCAAGATTTCTTTACACTCAGATGCAGCCTTAGAATGAAACAGAAGGAGTATCTTGGTAGATAGGGAAAAAAGGAAAGCAACCAGGTGTAACTGCTGTTAAAGCGTGTGAAAAGCAAATAAAAACCTGAGATAAGAAATTCTGTGCAAAATGAGACACTTAAAATGTTTTCCAAACCTATTGTTTTCCATTTTCTAAAAATAGTCTGAACCAATTATACTTGTCAAAAAAAAGAATTCTGATAAAATAGAGGAAGAATTAGACAAAATGTCACCTAAAAAAACCCCTGATACTTAATTCAAAAAAGAGGTATCCACAGCCAGCTTTCTCCATTACTTATCTATTACTAATTAATAAAAATAGCTGACTTTTGTCAAGTATTATATTCCAGGGCCTTTGTTAACTGGTATATATGCATTATTTAATTTTTCCAGGTGGGCCAGGTGTCAGGGCTTGAGCCTGTAGTCCCAGCTGCTTGGGAGGCTGAGGTAGATCGCTTGAGGCTAGGAGTTTGAGATCAGCCTGGGTGATATAGCGAGACCTCATCTCCAAAAAAAGAAAAACCAACAAGAAAAACAAAAAAAAAGCAATAGAAGTGCTGAAGAATACCCCAATATTTGATTTAGAAAAACAGTGTAAAATGTTTTAAATTTTTAAATGTTTGGTGAAGTGATTTCCAAATGACAACTAGTAGAAACTTTCCAAAGACCTTGGAGCAGTCATGCTTAACCAGCAGCATGTAGCAGAATCACTTGGGGTATTTTAAAAAGACTTGAAAATGTTTGGGCCCCAATTGGGTAATTTTTAAAGTACCAGTTTGAAAAAAAATAAAATAATTATAAAAGTAGTACACAGTAGTGGTGAAAAATAATTCAAAGAGTATTAGGATATAAAATTAAAACCATTAAGTCCTTCTGACTCAAATCCCCAGATGTAATCACTGCTAACAACTTCTTCTATACATTACACACATTTAATTTACAAAGGAGATAAGAGTGTATATGCTCTGTAAATGATTCTCTCATCTAATAATGTATCTGAGCATCACTTCATATCAGTACATATAGAACTACCTTGGTCTTTCAAGAGCTTCCTAGTATTCCATTTTAAAAAAATGTATTATAATTTATTTAATCAGCCCCTTACTGATATTTAGATTATCTTTTTTTTGTTATTATTACAATTAACACTGCAATGACCATCCTTAAATGTCCATATCTTATTGCCTTTCTGTGAGTTTGTTTGTGTGGTAGGCAGATTCAAAAGTGATGTGCAATGATCTACATGTTCGTATAATCTACTCCCTTTTGAGTGGATGGAAACTGTGAATATGATGAGACTCTTGGCAAAAGGGAGAGTATCCTGAGTGGGCCTGACCTAATCAGGTGAGAGCCTTTTCAAAGCTAAGGGTTTTCTATGGCTGGCTGATGAAGGATGTCAGAGATACGCATTCAGGCTGGCCTGGAACAAAGCAAAAATCCATCCTGGAAACTACCTGTGGGGGCCACGCATCAAGTACTTGTGAGCCATCTCTAGAAGCTGAGTGGTCCTCGGTCCATAGTTAGCAGGAAAACAGGAACCTTAATCTTACAGTTACAAGAACTGCCAACAACTAGTGACCTTGGAAAAAGACCCCAAGCCCAAGATGAGAACGGCAGCCCTGGCAACACCTTGATTTCAGATCAGTGATACCTTAAGCAGAGAATCCAGCCACGCTGTGGTTGGACTACTGACCTACAGTAACTGTGAGATAATAAATATGTTCTTTTAACCCATGAAATTTGTGGTAATTTGTCACGTAGCTTTAAAAAAGTAATACATGATAAATTCCTACAAGTCAAACTGCTGGATCAAGGTGATATATGCTTAAAATTTTTAAAGATATTCAAAATTTCTCTTCGAATATTTCAAACCAATTTAAACACCCACCGAGAGTAGATCTCATTTTTAAAAAATTTCCTGGTAGTTATCTGATGATTTAAAGTGTTTATTCCAGTAAGTCCTCAAGGGCTGGAATGATCTGTTTCTTGCCCACTGGTAGCTGACTTTTCTGGCAGAGGGATTTTTACAGTGTTCCTACTCAAATTTCTTTTAACAACAATGACCTTTCCTTTCAGGTTTTACTAGGAGGGAGGCTGTCATTACAACTCCCATCTCCAATGTAAGAAACTACTGGTAGCAAGAATTAATATGAGCATATGAAACACTATCAAATTGTGATCTACCTATCAGAAAAGGCATTGGATGTTTGGGTGCTTGGATAAACTCTGAGTCTATGAAAACAAATTTAAATGTTTTTAACTTTGAATACTCTTTTGGGAATAAAATTTTATATATTTTATAATATATTCCTCCAAGATAGCAATCTAAAGAAAAATCTGAATGGGATACAAAGTAAATCCATGATCAAAGTATCAACTATATGAACACAAGTATTTTTATATATTCAGGACTATTTGGGGAAAGGGTAGATTGTAGAGACAGATGGAAGCCAAGAGATTCAGTTTAACTTTCTTATTTTACAGAGAATTTGCTAACATTTTAGAAATCAAAACAATTATAATTTTGCTTTTGTTTCAGTATTTTCCATTTATTATAAAAGCACAAAAATTCCTTGGAGAATGAACTGATATATATTCTTTTTGGAGGGCTATGTAGAGTATGTATCAAAAGTCTTTAAAATGTGCATGCCGTTTAATCTAGTAATTCTCTTTAGAGAGTTTGTTCTAAAGATATAAATCACAGACACTCACTCACTCAAATTAATTCAACCAATGTTCATTAAGCATCTCCTATGAGCAACTAGTTACTGTTTTGGGTGCTGGGAAAACATCAGTGAACAAAACATGTCCCTACTGTCATGGAGCTTACATTCTGGTGAGAGAAAAAGACAGTAAAAAAATAAATATATAAAAATCTCAGGTATTGATAAACACTACAAAAAAAAAGGCACAGTAAAGGTAAAAATGATGATATTTTAATTTAGAAAAGCAACCAGAGAAGAAAATCTCTGAAGAAATGGCATGAATGAAGTAGGACGTATGCCTTATGAGCAGACAGATATCTGGGAATAGAAGAAATAAATGCAGATGCGCTACGGTAGATTTCCCAAACATCCCCAGCATCGTCACCATCATACTGAATGTTAGTTAAGAGCCAATTGTGAGCACCTAGATTCTGATCAAAGAAATCTATGTTTGTTGTTTGTTTATTTGGTAAGAATGTGCTTATTGGGATTCATCTTGATTCAGGGTTCCTTTAGTGCTGCTTTCTCCTGTAGGAATACCCTCCTATAAGTCTTGCCTTTCCTCCTGTGGGCTGGCAGAGGACAGCAGAGCTGCCAAGACACAAAAGCACCGCTCCTGTGTGACTAAAGGCCATGGTGATTTTATAGCATCCTGGGCATTTCACATTTCCTGGCTCTGCACCTGGTGCTTCTTGTTTTTCCTGTTCTCCTCTCCCAGAGAGGGATAAAGAAGATCCCTGGTGAGAGGCAGGCATGTTCTGGTGTGGAAGGTTGTCTCCACCAGAAAAGGTGTTTGTTTTTTGACATGGGATCCTACTATGTCACCTAGGCTGGTCTGGAACTCCTTGGGCTCAAGCGATCCTCCTGCCTCAACTGCCTGAGTATGTTGTTTGTTTTTTAAATAAGCTAGTCATGTTTTGACTTTCAAAATAATTCTACCTTTATATTTACCTTTTTTTTTTTTTTACTATTACAGCAGTATTTACAGTTAGAAGCAACCTAAATGTCCTATAGCTGTTATTAAGTTGGATATATATAAAATAGGGCATTCGTAAGAAGGAATACTTAAAAAACATTAAAATAACATTTTAAAATGCTTTCAAAAATTTTAATGATATGGAAAAACGCTATTATGTTAAGTGAAAAGGGCAATTTATTAAATAGTTACATGAGCTCAATTTTTTTTTTTTTTTGAGACAGAGTCTCACTCTGTTGCCCGGGCTAGAGTGCCGTGGCATCATCCTAGCTCACAGCAACCTCAAACTCCTGG